AAGGAATCAGAGAATTTAGGAATCGGGGAACTACTGAATTGGTATGAGAATAATTATTCTCATTAAGTTGTTTACTAAACATACGGAATTAGCTAAGGAATGGGATTGATTCCCATTGTTATTGTTTACTAATTTGCATGAATCAGAATCCAAATTAATTTTAGAATTATGGTAAAGTGGAAAGGGTATTTTTGGAAGTTATTAAGAGAAAATAGGAATGAGAATCGTATCCACTACTCCCCTTAGTTGATATGATACCTAGTTTTGAGATAATGTGATTAAAGATTTTGAGGTGGGGCCCACTTATGTTTTCATTCCTGATTACAAGTAAACGCAGGGGAAGTCAAGAATGAAAATCATTCCCTTTCCTCTCATACCCATTACTGATACGTAAACATGCACGAAGTGTTTTAGTGGACAAAAGAGGAGTTTGAAAATCAGCTCCCTAAACTTAAACTTAAATAAGCAGTGAAAAATGTTAATTGGTAAAAAGAAAGTCATTTGGTCTAACTCCAAAATTAAAAGAACAATTAATTTGGTAGAGTCAAAATTTTGACCACAGAGAATTTTAAAAAAAGGAAAAAAAAAATTAAAGAGGAGATTCAAAAACAAGAGGACAATAGAAACCTCAATGAGCATGAAGATATCAAAGAAATGGATTATCGATCAGAAGTAGGGAAGCCGGTGATAGTGTTGATTTGCGGTAGCTTAGTCTATTACCACTGTGCGCATCGCAACTCCAGCCTCGTCTCTCTTGTCTCCGATGTCCTCATCGTCCTCCTCTGTTCGCTTGCCATTCTCGGCCTTCTCTTTCGCCAGATGAACATCTCGTAAGTCCAAATTTCTCATTTTCCTTTGCGCCCTTGTTTTGTCTGCCCAGAAAATGCGGGAAAACGACTGCTTTTCTTTCTGTTTTTGGTTTATTTTTCTGGGTTTTGAGGAATTTGGGTTTCTAAAGTCTTGTTATTGGGTCAATTTGGAGTTTGGTTTTATCTGATAATGGTTGAAAATTGAATGCAAATTTTTTGTGCTTTAATTGAGTTTGATTGTGAATGATTTTGAGAATTGGGTTTTGTTTAGATTTTGATAGGCTCTTTTACTCTGTAGGGTTGTCTTGAATGGATGCATTGGAATTGAAATAGGTTATGGGGGATTGAAGAAAAATTGGAGTTGTTACCAAGATAGATGAACTGAGAATTTGTGGTTCTTTGTTTCAAATTATAATTGTGTGAATGGTATTATTTGATAAGCGGTTTCTGTGTCATATTATGAATTTATAGATTTGGTACGATTGTAGTGGTGAATGGTGATCTTTGTGTTGAAGTATCTAGTTTTATTGTTGACTAGGGTACCCGTCGATCCACTCGAGTGGCAGATTTCGCAGGACACTGCTAATAGCATTGTTGCATGGTTAGCCAATACCATAGGAGCAGCTGAGTCTGTATTGAGGGTTGCAGCCACCGGGCACGACAAGAGGTTGTTTTTCAAGGTAATAATGCTTGATGACTGCAATGGATTTTTGTTTTGGTATCAAGCTTTTGCAGAGTCTCTGTTACTTGGTGGCTATGGATGAAAATTTTCAGCGGCTAACATGTAGACAGACATAAGCTGCTGCGAGCTTTAAGTATCAAGGAGAGGTGCTAATACATGTCTTAAGAATTATAAAGTGGCCCAAGTCAGGACATATTTTGAACTTTGATATTGTAGAAATTTGGATTTCTTTTGGTATTGAGCTCCATATGCATGTTGTTATGCGTCCACATGTGTTTCATGCTTGCATTTGTCTTTTTCACTGGCAAGGCTTGGATGTTACTTCGAGGGCACTCCATAATGCACCTTCTCTTCTACTGCATAGTATTTTAGAAGAATAGAATGGAAGCTAAAATGT